GCCCCCAGAAAAACAGCTCAGAAAATAGCCGTTGGAGTCCAACGGTCAAATCGGCGGTCGGCCACGGTGGTCGACCGCGAAGAACAAAAAACAAAAAAAAAACTGTTCTGGATGGTTGTCGGTCGACCGTGAAATTTTCGCGGTCGACCGTGAGACACTTTTGAATCTCACGAAACTCCAGAAACTTTAGCGGTCGACCGTCGCGGTCGACCGCGAGAAAAAAATCAAAAAACTGCACTCTGGACTGCGTACGGTTGACCGCCACGGTCGACCACACTGTAGCACAGTCGACCGTGGCGGTCAACCGCACTGTAGCAATATGCACAAGCAATTTTCAGGTTTTGACAGATTGTGGAAATTTACGTATCTGATTTTGTAAAATAAATTAAAAATAGTAAATCAACTCCAAAAATCATGAAATTTTGAGGGAAGGTTCTAGACATGTAGATAAACATGTTAGAGAAATAATTTCTGAAAAATCACTTCCCAGTTGAGAGAAATAAATGTTTTAACATAGATAAACAGTTTCTAAAAAATTGCTGAAAACTCGTTTTTGTAAATTCAATTGAAAATAACAAAACAACTCCAAAATTAGTAAAACTTTGGTAAATGTTTTTATATATGAATATAAACATGTAAACGAATAAATTTTTCAAATTACATTTTCCAATTGTGAATACGCATCTGTTTTGTAAAAACATGCACGGACACATGCACATACATGAACAAAAAAACTTGATTTTTCCAAAAACGAGTTCAAACAACTTGGAAACACTTTAGAATGGATTTGTAGACATTATAAGAGATATGAAAATAGTGTGAACAAGTCTTCAATCTATAAACACAATATTTTCTAAATACAATAGAATATGAAACAAATAAAAATGTATATGAAGATATATATTGTTTCATATCTACATAACTTAACCAAAACAACTTAACCATATGAAGTCAAACATGTATATATATTGAAAATCAAAACTTGTATTTATATATATGACTATATATATATAAAACCAAATACGTGTATGTTTGTATATGATTGAGCTTACTGTATCAAATACACATAATATAAAACCTAAACTAAATTACCCAAGCTTGATCTTGTTCTTCAATAAGCTTGACTTGGTACACTTACGGATGAAGCTTGAACTTGAATCTTGAACTTGAATTACATTACTTCAACCACTATATCCGCCTACCTCCATTTGATATGATCGCTATAGCGCAATCCATCCAACCTCTATCATGTAGTTTGCCTAGAATAAATACGAAAAACAAACACTTGACAAACAATATTAGAAGTAAATTGTTTGTTAAACATTATTAAAATAAGAAGGCCAACAATAACTCGATGTAAAGACAGTCTTCTTGCACAAAGACTTGGATGAAGAGATCTATATGCATCAACCTGAGGGCTCCAAGGTTGAGGACAAGGAGAATCATGTGTGTCGCTTGAGAAAGTCACTCTATGGACTGAAGCAATCTCCTTGGCAGTGGTACAAGCAATTTGACTCCTTCATGCTGAAGGATGGGTTTTCCCGAAGCGATTATGATTGTTGTGTTTACATTCGAAAGCTTCGTGAAGATGATTATATCTATCTTCTTTTGTATGTGGATGACATGCTTATTGCTTCTAAGAGCATAGTGGAGATAGATAGGCTAAAACCTTAACTTGGTAAAGAATTCGAGATGAAGAACATGGACGTTGTAAGGAAAATACTAGGTATGGAGATTAGAAGAGAGCGGGCGAATCGGCGATTTTTCTTGAGTCAGAAGGGCTACATAGAGAGGGTTATCGCAAGATTTAGAATGCAAAGTGCAAAGTCAGTGGTGACTCTATTAGTTCCACACTTCAGACTTTCAGGTAAACAATCTTCCACTATAGCAGAAAAGAAGGCACACATGGAACGTGTCCCCTATGCTAGTGCAGTTGGCAGTTTAATATACACAATGGTGTGTACACGCCTAGATATTTCACAGGCGGTCAGTGTCGTCAACAGATTCATGGCGAATGTGAGTAAGGCGCATTGGGAAGCGGTGAAGTGGGTCCTGAGGTATTTGAAGGGTACCGTTGATATGGGTCTGTGATTTGGTAGAGATACATGTCAGATTGATGTGTTTGTTGACTCTGATTATGCAGGCGATCTAGATAGATGGTGATCTACTACTGGTTATGTATTCAGCGTACATGGGGCTCCAGTTAGTTGGTAATCGATGTTACAAGCTACAATGATACTTTCTACTACAGAGGCCGAGTACATGGCCATGTTGGAGGGAGTGAAAGAAGCATTGTGGTTGTAGGGTCTTCTAGACAATTTGGGGATTGAGCAAGAGAGTGTGAACTTGTGGTGCGACAGTCAGAGTGTGATTCACTTGACGAAGAATCAAGTTCATCATGATCGTACCAAGCATATCAATGTCAGATACCATTTTGTGCGGGATGTCATAAAGGAATATGATATTTCTCTCATGAAGGTGCACACGAATGAGAATCCAACAGACATGTTGACTAAGGTGGTGACAGGTAGCAAGTTTTAGCATTGCTTGGACTTGTTTCATATTAGCACGTGTTGAACTGCCCAAGAGGGCATGGTCCACTACAACAAATTGTACTTTTCCCGACGCTTATTCCCGACGCATGGTTAAATACGTCGGTAAAAATTATATTTTTCCCGACGCTTTTAGTTAGCGTCGGCAAAAAATATATTTTTCCCGACGTTTATAATTAGCGTTGCTAAAAGTGTATATTATTAGCGACGTTCTAACTTAGCGTCGGTAAAAGTTATGGATTTCCCGACGTTTTTTAATTTTCGTCGGCAAAAGTATAGCTTTTTAGCGACGTTTTAGGATTAGCGTCGCTAATAATATGCATTTATCGCGACGTGTTAAGTTAACGTCGCTAAAAGTCTCTTTTTCCCGACGTTCTTGTTTTGTGTCGCTAAAAGGTTACTTTTTACGACGCCGTTTCGTTCATCCGCGTCGCCAAAAAAACACCCCAAATTTTTACCTATAGGCGGGAAATTCCCCCCCTTTATTTTCGCGAAAAAGAGAAAAAAAACTCAGAATCCCCGTTCTCTCTCTCATTAGAAAACCTGCCCCAAACCCCCGTGCTCGCCTCTTTCGTCGGAGTTCACCGCCTCCATCGGAGTTCACCGCCGCCATCGATCCCTGAAGCTCGCCGCCGCCGTCGACCCAAATCGGATCTTGCCGAATCGGATCTCGCCACCTCTCCTTCTCCTCTCCTCTTCCAAATCGAAATCCAAATTGAACGTAGAAGAGGAAAATGGCGGCGGCAGCAGCAGCTTTCCCATCTCCTCTTCAAGCTCTCTTGAATCTCGCCCAACGGTTCCGATGGGCAAAAAGCGAAGATTGAAGTTTGATTTCTGAAAACTTTCTGGCTTTTGTTTTCATGTTTATGGTGTGGAAATCTGTGATCTTTCTGTAGTATTTTGCTTAATTTTTGGTACTATTAAGTTTTCTTAGTTTCGCATATGGTCACCGATAAATCGGTATTTGGCATTTGCATGCCTTGAATTTTGATGTCCGGATGGTGAAAACCAGCCATATATATTAGCTAGTTTCAGGTTTCAATTTCTAATTAATTATTACATCAAGTTCATCTTGTATGAGTCCCTTAGGAGGGAATTTGAGCCAGATTAGTCGACTAATGCCTTCGGGAAATAATAAAGCTTTTAGATGGACTTAGTCCTCACAAACAAGGGAGAAAGACTTTGTTCAAAATTATAAATTATTTATGGTTCTTTTATAATAACAAAAAATATAAATATCAATTCTAATATGTTGAGTTTAGAAGACATTGAGGATTGAAGCCAAACTGAGATTGCAGTATCCTGGTACTGCTTATTATTAGAAATAGCTAATGAACCATCATATAGATATAAAATTTATATCATGAACAAATAATGGTGCGCGTGCAGTTACAAATAAGGGAAATCAATCTCGGGTCTCAACCACGGGATCTTGTATCTAGAAGATGCATATATGTTTCTAATTAGTTATACAGAAAGAGGAACCACGATGTCAATGAGATTGAACTATGTCTCGGAAAGAAGTAAAAGTACCGACTGACAATTATTTCTTTTATCACATTGAACTGATGCACAGTAATTTTCTCTAAAAGGCTTCTTATTTCATTATGATTTACAAACTTCGCTACCTCTCGGTTCTTCATGTTAGAATCAAGAGAACTGAGGGCATGCATATTGATCCCTATTGCATCCCATAAGATGTCAACTTAGGGCATACGGATACTATCGGTAGTATAAAAGATTTCATCACTTGAGTCAACTGTTAAGGAGAAATCACGCGATTTTTCTACCTGATCTATTTGTTATTTCTGTGTGTCATGGCTTGATGTTCCAGTTCCTTTTTATAAGAAGAAATCTGAGTTATTGATCCATATAGGACACTTCAATGTTCATTACAGCATGTAATTAAATAACTAAAGTCGTTTGTTTTAAGGTTAACTTGTTAAAATTCATTTCGGATAAAACCTTATGAGGGTAAAACTCGTTTCTTGTGCTTGAATTCTCTTCCTACTCACTGACGAGTAAACTTGCCCCTGCATGATGATATATGCTAATTCTCTTCCTACTCACTGACGAGTAAACTTGCCCCTGCAGGATGATATATGCTAAGAGTGCTAATATAAGATGAAAATACAGCCATATGTAATAATCTTGAGCATTGTGATGTTGTTCATTGTTTATAGAATGGCAACCATTCAGTATCAAGAAACAGAGGTACATCTTTGGGCAATTGATTATTTAGTAATTTCATTATTTGTTTTGTATTTAATAAAATCCTTGTTGTGATTAGTAAAATCGATAGATGGAAGCAACATCTCATCCCTTTGATACGATATTGGTAAAACTTTTCTGTTCTTTTTTAAGAAACAATCAGAACACTCCTTTGATCATTTTCATTTTTAGGAGCTGCTTATGATTAGTTATTTTCGCAATATGCCTTTCAGGACTCTGGTACAAGTGAATCCTGTATTGGTTATTTGCCTTGTGGTATAGTGCATTCGAGATCTGACATGGAAGTAAAGCTTCTATGGCTAGCAAAGGGCTCAAAGGTTAGTAATTCTATTAGGGATTATGTCATCACAACTCATGTCTCATTGATGCTAAAATATTCCAAACCCCCTTTGTGTCCTTAGAGTTTCTTGTATGTGGTGATTTTCCTGTTACTTAGTTGCAATACTTTGGTGTTATTATGTTATGTTTCATGCTTTGGTGTTATTTTGTATGTGGTGATTTTTTTTCATGGATGACGTTTCTAGTCTCCTTTAGTACCTACCTTTTCATTTGTCTATTGCCCGTGAAATTCACTATATCTCATCTTGTTTGACTCAATTGTTTCCACTGTAGAGGAATATGGAGGCCTTGGTCCTGATTACTTGTATCACTGTATAGCAATGGAAGAAATAAGTCGTGCTTCTGGATCTGTTTGCATTAATCAATTTGGTTGCAGTCCTTGGATTTTTAGGGACTTTGAGGTTAGTGGGAGAACTCATCTGTTGAAAGGTAAATTACGTTTCATTTTCCTTTTCATTATTTTGATAATAAAGAGAGTATATGAGGGAGATGCTATTGTATGTTTTATTTGATTATTTACACTTAATTCTATACATGCAAGAGCCTTTAGAGTTCCTATTGCTTCCACTGCAGATCCATGAGTTCGATTATTGAGCTTTAGAATTATTGATATCAGGTCCATGAATTTCATCTGCACTTACATATGTGCCTTCCACCGGTTCCAAACAAACTTCAAAATGATAGAATTACAGATTTAATAGCCATTCTTGCTTAAGACAACTTTCTATATATCTAAAGAGTTGCATTTAGCTCATACAAATGGATTAAACAATGACTCAGATTCACATAAAATGCACGTTTGTTTGTTGGTTGGTTTTCTTGAACGGATTTGGTTAGGTTTGCATTGCCAACATAAGTTATTGCATAGTAATTGTTTGTGGAGGATGTGTAATGAATGATGTTGCCAACATACATCCATGATGTTGCAGCTCATAAATGAGAAGCCTCAAGTGATTCAAGAGTACTTGTCTTAAAAAGCAATTCCAAATTAGTAGATAATTACCAAACTAGAGAGGGTCTTGAGAGTGAAACTAAGAGGAAAGAAATAATTTGCCCGGTACAAAGTTCGTATTTATGGAACTTCGACATCTAAAGCAAATGGTTCTATTTTGATTTTGAGCAGCTTGAATTGGTTATAGTGTATATGAAGTGTGGAGCTGGTTTTTTGTCTTTTTACATGTTGTATCCTCTATTGCGTTGTTTTCTCGTGTCTTATGAATGAGGTTGGTAGAGGTTTTTGTTTGCTTTTCTCTGTTGTTGCCTTAAAAATTTTAGATTAATTGTTGATATTTACTTAGCCTTCAAATATTTAAACTTATGTAGTTTCTTAATATGCATCACGTGCAACGCACGTTTGACATACTAGTGTAACTAAAAGAATGAAAACACTTGACTTCTGGAGTTCAAGTGAAATAATTTTAAGAAAGCAAAAAATGAGGTCTGATGCTAAATATATTTTTCAAAAATCTGAAGCTGAAGCATATGTCTCCGCAGAGTAAGGGTAAAAGACTTGCCACAAGGATGTTCCTATAGAAGCTATTTTATTCCTATAGAAGGAGAGATAGCTGAAGCTTATGCTGATAATAAAGAACGAATGTTGAAGAAGAAAATACTAGTTGGAGATGGATGGGTTAGGGTGTCTGTAATTTCCTTTTTGCGTAATTTTCAAATGCCTTTAGTTTCTTTCTGCATGATCTTTGCTATGATTTTGCTTGAAAATCTTGCTTTTGTTTTAAACTGTATAGAAGATTGTTTAATCAAAGAACTGATATCTTTAACATCTCTAACAGGAAATAATCAAAGAACTGATGGAAAGACTACCACACATGAAAGAGCTTATGAATATGTTTAGTGGCCCTGATAGAGTGACTGCAAAGCAACAAATGCAGGAGTTAGACAGAGTCGCAAAAACTCTACCAGAGAATATACCTTCATCTGTGAAGAGGTTCACTGATCGTGCCGTTCTTTCACTTTAACTTTTCTTTTTTTCAACTTAGTTTAGTTTCCTGTAAATCTTATAATGTGTCATTCTCTGAAATGGAAAACACTGAATATGGCAAACTGGAATATTTAAACAGGTCTTTGAGTGTTGATTTGGAAATGGAAATGAATGTAATTATTTTGCAATGGGAGCAAATTCTTTGTTTATCATAATATGCAACAACTTATTTGGAGTATAATTTGATGTTTGGTTTCTTTGTTGATGTGAATGAGAGTAAATTTTTTGTGGATGTTCAGGTTCAATGTAGGCTTGTAGTTGACAGAAATGATATTACTTTTGGCGATGCAAATTAGTATCGACAAAATTATACTTTTTACCGTTGCTAAAAATTATACTTTTGCCGACGCTATCTTGCGTCGGTAAAAGTATAGCTTTTAGCGACGCTATCTTGCGTTGCCAAAAGTATAGCTTTTAGCGACGCTTCATTATGCGTCGCTAAAAGCTACACTTTTGCCGACGCTACCTTACGTTGACAATAGTATAGCTTTTAGCGACGCTATCTTGCGTCGCCAAAAGTATAGCTTTTAGCGACGCAGAGTGAAGCGTCGCTAAAAGTTATACTTTTAGCGACGCAGGATAGCGTCGCTAAAAGCTAAACTTTTGCCGACGCATAGCTTTTGCCGACGCTGCATGCGTCCTAAAAGCTAAACTTTTGCCGACGCATAGCTTTTGCCGACGCTGCATGCGTCGCCAAAAGTACACTTTTGCCGACGTAAAATATTATGCGTCGCTAAAAAATACATTTTTCCCGACGCATGACGCGTCGCCAAAAGTATACTTTTGGCGACGCAGTGTATTTGCGTCGCCAAATACTTTCCTTGACGCACTTTTGGCGACGCGTTAGCGACGCTGCATTTTGCGTCAGGAAAGATTTTTCCCGACGTTTTTTAAACTTTTGCCGACGTTTTTGTTTCGTCGGTAATGTTGTATTTTGTTGTAGTGGTCCTTCGGGGCGGTGATGGGGTGAGGTGAAGACTATATGGAGAACAATAACAGAACTACGGTTAGCTTGATCCCGGTGGAGGGTACGTAGGCAGTCGCGGTATAGTGGCGTAGCTGGTTTGACCTAGTTTAGCCTGGTTTAATGATTCAGATCTCTCTGGTGATGTTCGCGGTGTTTTTCTGGTGTTCGTCCAAAATTTAAGGTTTATCAAATAATGTACGAGGTGGAGAATTGTGAACGGCTGACATGTGCAGTGGGCCCAGGGCCTACCCGAGATACATGTATAGCAATACATGTGCAACGAGACAGGGCCACACCCGCGTGCCCGAGACACAAAAGGTGTCTCGACAGCAGGGGCCATACCTAAGACACGAGAGCTATCTTGCGGGCGCCAACTCCAGCGGGCAGAGCTGAGGCCCAGTTTAGGGGTTTTTTTGGCCTGCTTTTCACTATAAATAGGAACATGTTTCCTAGGGTTTTGTGAGAGGAGAAATAGTGGGTTTTGGTGGCCAGAGAAAAAGAGAGTTTTTCAGATCTAAAAGAGAGATCTTGAGGAGAGAAAAAAGAGAGCTTGGAGAGATTTTACAAGAGAGAGGTCAATTTCTTTTGGGAAAAAACCATAGCTTCATCTTTGGGACGAGCTTGTGGGTTATACAAGTCGTCGATGTTCTCCTTCATAGTGGAATCTCTCCTCCCCCTTCCCGTAGATGTAGGCAAGTTTGCTGAACCACATAAATCTCGTGTCATTATTGTTTTCTGAGTGTTGGCTATTGCTTATAGGTTCTCTCGACAATTCAGTCCTAGAACTGATGAGAGGAAGAGTATATATCTCACTTTTTAAGATATTTCACTTCTGTTCTTATTTCCTTCGCGAAACAGGAACATAAAGTTTGGCTTGAGCTTTTGTGAAAACAAAAGTCAGGGCTTTCTCTCGAGTTATATCGCTTCTGCGGCGTGACGGCATGTCTCTGCGCCCAACATTTTAGATAAGAGACCTGAGTTCTCTCTTCATAAAAAATTTGTCATCTAATTTGAGGATGCCGTGTCAGTATATTTCTAGAAAAAACCAGTTTATATGCTAGGGGAAATAAGCTTGCAAGGGAGTTGTGCTCTAACTATTTATGCTCTCAGAAACATCAGGGTCGCACTCTAACAATAAATACGTGCAAGAGTGTGATCAGGATCCATTGAAGATCGCAATCTCTTCCTAAGTATTCTAATTTACATATTATACACATTGTATTATTTTATAAAATTGGCAACCAATCCAATATTGTATTTGAGGCAAATCAGTTTAGCTCAACCTCGGACAAACCATCCATCAAAGATGGATCGAGACGTGTTAACGTCACTATGCAAGTAGTAGTTGAAGCCGTGTATTAGAAGTTAGCCTGTCTCTAGTAGCTCACACATCTTCACATGTTGAAGTATAAATCTTGAATAAAAAAATTCTCGAAGACGTTTTCATAGTCTTCAGACTCCAATAAAGAGGGAGTTTGTATAAAATTACCCAATTGGGCATATAAACAATATGTAGATCATAATGATTATTTTATTAACTTTGGGTGGCAAATTATTATGTGTACAGTAAGATCCGCTTGGATTTTCCTTTAATAAAAAATCCTAATAAATTTGTTAAATGAAGTCGAGGACTTTTAAATATTCATGAAAAGCCTAGCACTAATCTGTCATTAGCAAGTGACGAGCTGATCTTTTGTCTGTACTACTCAGGGGTCCCATTTAATTCCTCAAGATTTTCTACTAGTCCAGCTTAACGTTTGACATTTTTTATAATGGACATTCACAAGGCTAAACTTTCTTAGATATAGAATTGGTAGGCATCAATGTATCATGTTACCCTGAGATCCACAAATCAAGTTTTCTATATGGTAGTCCAACACGATCATCATATTAAATATTAGAAAACACCTCAAGTTGGGGTGTTTAATGGATGGGTTTTGGCAATAGGGTGGGTTAAAGGAGAGAGAGAGTCTTGGGTAAATTTCCCTTAGATTAAATATTGAATGTGTACACACACACACACACACACACACAAAAACACATTTCATCTCTCACGTTCTGAGCAGCAGCCATATCATCTCAAACCCTAATCTTTCAAACCCTTGATTTTGGAGAAGCTTTGAGAAGCAACTAGACAAGAGGAGGGCGAGATCTGCGGCTTTGGTGAAGGAGGATCAAGTCTCTCTTGTGTTTGAGAGATCAACACAAATTTTTGAGGTGAGTTTC